TTCTCGGGGGTCCCAACTGTCTTTCTTTAAGAATGTGAAACCTTCTCGGGGGCCCCAAGTGGCTTTATTTAAAAGGTGAAAGCTTCTCAGGGGTACTAAGTGTTTTTTTTTTAAATGTGAAACCTTCTCAGGGGTCCCAAGTGGGTTTTTTTTAAATATGAAACGTTCTCAGGGGTCCCAAATGGTTTTTTTTTTAATATGAAATCTCAGCGGTCCCAAGCGGTTTTTTTTTTTAAATGTGAAACCTTCTCGGGGTTCCTGAGTGTCTTTTTTTAAATAAAAGTGAAATCTTCTCGAGGGCATCAAGTTGTCTTTTTGTGAAAAAAGTGAAAACTTCTCGGGGGTTCCCACTGTCTTTTTAATAATGTGAAACCTTCTCGGGGACCCCAAGTGGCTTTATTTAAAAGGTGAAACCTTCTCAGGGGTTCTAATTGTTTTTTTTTTAATTGTGAAATCTTCTCAGGGGCCTCAGGTGGCTTTATTTAAAAGGTGAAAGCTTCTCAGGGGTTCCAAGTGGTTTTTTTTTGTGAAACCTTCTCAGGGGCCTCAAGTACATTTTTTTTAATAATGTGAAACCTTCTCGGGGGCCCCAAGTGGCTTTTTTTTAAAATGTGAAATCTTCTCAGGGGTCCCAAATGTTTTTTTTTTAATATGAAACCTCAGCGGTCCCAAGTGTTTTTTTTTTAATGTGAAACCTTCTCGGGCTTCCTGAATGTCTTTTTTTTTTAATGAAAGTGAAATCTTCTCGAGGGCCCCAAGTGTCTTTTTGTAAAAAAAAGTGAAACCTTCTCGGCGGTTCCCACTGCCATTTTTTAATAATCTAAAACCTTCTCGGGGGCCCAAGTGGCTTTATTCAAAAGATGAAACCTTCTCAGGGGTTCCAAGTGTTTTTTTTTTTTTAAATGTAAAACTTTCTCGGGAGCCCCAAGTGGCTTTTTTAAAAATATGAAACCATCTCAGGGGTCCCAAGTGGTTTCAGTTAAATGTGAAACCTTCTCGGGGTTCCTGAGTCTCTTTTTTAAATAAAAGTGAAATCTTCTCGAGGGCCCCAAGTGTCTTTTTGTGAAAAAAGTGAAAACTTCTCGGGGGTTCCAAGTGTTTTTTTTTTTATGTGAAACCTTTTCAGGGGCCCCAAATACGTTTTTTTAACGATGTGAAACCTTCTCGGGGCCCCCAAGTGGCTTTTTTTTTAATGTGAAACCTTCTCAGAGGTCCCAAGTGGGTTTTTTTAAATATGAAATCTTCTCAGGGGTCCCAAGTGTTTTTTTTTTAAATGTGAAACCTTCTCGGGGTTCCCGAGTGTCTTTTTTTTAATGAAAGTGAAATCTTCTCGAGGGCCCCAAGTGTCTTTTTGTAATAAAAAGTGAAACCTTCTCGGCGGTTCCCACTGTCTTTTCTTAATAATCTAAAACCTTCTCGGGGGCCCCAAGTGGCCTTATTTAAAAGATGAAACCTTCTAAGGGGTTCCAAGTATTTTTTTTTTAAATGTGAAACTTTTTCAGGGGCCCCAAATACGTTTTTTTAACGATGTGAAACCTTCTCGGGGCCCCCAAGTGGCTGTTTTTTTAATGTGAAACCTTCTCAGAGGTCCCAAGTGGGTTTTTTTAAATATGAAATCTTCTCGAGGGCCCCATGTGTCTTTTTGTAATAAAAAGTGAAACCTTCTCGGCGGTTCCCACTGTCTTTCCTTAATAATCTAAAACCTTCTCGGGGGCCCCAAGTGGCCTTATTTAAAAGATGAAACCTTCTAAGGGGTTCCAAGTATTTTTTTTTTAAATGTGAAACTTTCTCGGGGGCCCCAAGTGGCTTTCTTTAAAATATGAAACCGTCTCAGAGGTCCCAAGTGGTTTTCGTTAAATGTGAAACCTTCTCGGGGTTCCTGAGTGTCTTTTTTTAAATAAAAGTGAAAACTTCTCGAGGACCCCAAATGTCTTTTTGTGAAAAAAGTGAAAACTTCTCGGGGGTCCCCACTGTTTTTTAATAATGTCAAACTTTCTCGGGGACCCCAAGTGGCTTTATTTAAAAGGTGAAACCTTCTCAGGGGTTCCAAGTGTTTTTTTCTTAAACGTGAAACCTTCTCAGGGGCCCCAAGTGGTTTTTTTATTAATGTGAAACCTCGGGGTCTCAAGTGGTTTTTTTTAAAATGTGAAACCTTCTCAGGTGTCCCAAATATTTGTTTTTTAATATGAAACCTCAGCGATCCCAAGTGGTTTTTTTTTAAATGTGAACCCTTCTCGGGCTTCCTGAGTGTCTTTTTTTTTAATGAAAGTGAAACCTTCTCGGCGGTTCCCACTGCCTTTTTTTAATAATCTAAAACATTCTCGGGGGCCTAAGTGGCTTTATTTAAAAGATGAAACCTTCTCAGGGGTTCCAAGTATTTTTTTTTTATGTGAAACTTTCTCGAGAGCCCCAAGTGGCTTTCTTTAAAATATGAAACCATCTCAGGAGTCCCAAGTGGTTTTTGTTAAATGTGAAACCTTCTCGGGGTTCCTGAGTGTCTTTTTTTAAATAAAAGTGAAATCATCTCGAGGGCCCCAAATGTCTTTTTGTGAAAAAAGTGAAGACTTCTCGGGGGTCCCAACTGTCTTTTTAATAATGGCAAACCTTCTCGGGGACCCTAAGTGGCTTTATTTAAAAGGTGAAACCTTCTCAGGGGTTCCAAGTGGTTTTTTTTAAATGTGAAACCTTCTCAGGGGCCCCAAGTAGGTTTTTTTAACAATGTGAAACCTTCTCGGGTGCACCAAGTGGCTTTCTTTAAAATATGAAACCTTCTCACGGGGCCCGAAGTGGTTTTATTTAAAAGATGAAACCTTCTCAAGGGTTCCAAGTGTTTTTTTTTAATGTGAAACTTTCTCGGGGGCACCAAGTGACTTTCTTTAAAATATGAAACCATCTCAGGGGTCCCAAGTGGTTTTTGTTAAATGTGAAACCTTCTCGGGTTTCCTGAGTGTCTTTTTTTAAATAAAAGTGAAATCTTCTCGAAGGCCCCAAATGTCTTTTTGTGAAAAAAGTGAAAACTTCTCGGGGGTCCCCAATGTCTTTTTAATAATGTGACACTTTCTCGGGGGTCCCAAGTGGCTTTTTTTTAATTTGAAACCTTCTCAGGGGTCCCAAGTAGATTTTTTTTAAATATGAAACCTTCTCAGGGATCCCAAGCGGTTTTTTTTTTAAATGTGAAACCTTCTCGGGGTTCCTGAGTGTCTTTTTTTTAATTAAAGTGAAATCTTCTCGAGGGCCCCAATTGTCTTTTTGTAAAAAAAAGTGAAACCTTCTTGGTGGTTCCCACTGCCATTTTTTAATAATCTAAAACCTTCTCGGGGGCCCAGGTGGCTTTATTTAAAAGGTGAAACCTTCTCAGGGGGCCAAGTGTTTTTTTTTAATGTGAAACCTTCTCAAGGACCCCAAGTGTTTTTTTTTTAAATGTGAAACCTTCTAAGGGCCCCAAAAGTTTTTTTATTAATGTGAAACCTTCTCGAGGTTCCCAAGTGTCTTGGTTTTTAATAATAATTAGTTTATTCACCAAGTAGATACAGTAATGTATATTGTGGTATGTCATTTTAACAAGTTAAAATCTTCTCGGGGACCCCAATTCTTTTTGGTTAATAATGTGAAACCTTTTCGGGGTTCTTAAGTGTTTTTCTTTATAAGAAGATGAAACCTACTCGGGGGCCTCAAGTCTCTTTTTTTTTAACAAGATAAAACCTTTTTTTCTTATACTGTGACTAGTACATTATATATTATTTGATTCCATAGAGGTTATCACAAAAAAGTAAAATTTCACAAAATCAAATTTCATAATTTTCCAAAGAAGCAGAATTTGTTGGATCGTAGTTCAAGGGCGAGGGAAGTTCTGTCCCAATAACGTTCGGCCAATTTTTTACGAATTATTTTATAATGAATGGCGTCACATTCGGTAGGTATATGTCTCTGATAAACAAAAATTTTATAAAAAAATAAGAAAAGTTAGTCTTAAATTAGAAGTCATCAGATTTTGTATTTTAGTCAACATTTACAAAGAAAATTTCACTTTTATCGTAGTTCTTTTAAGAGAAGTTGTAGTTTTTGGAGCTTTAACTTTAAAAATAACGAAAAATAATTGTATTCCATAAGTTTCCATTTTAATTTTAATCTTGTTTGTAGTTTTTTTAATACTTAGAAACTTCTAGTTCTTAAAGCTTGAACTTTCGCCTTTGTAGAAAAATACAATCGATACATACTTTGTTGCACGAAAAAATCAAATTGTAAATTCGCCTCAGCTAAAAACATAAATAAATCACGTAAAAAGTGAACGCCATTTCGAAAACCCTTTTTTAATATAGGAATTTTTTAGTCAATAAGGGTCATTTACTAACTTTATCCATTTCTGTTTTTATCCACAAAAGGCGGTAAAGTTATATTTCGAAAAACACTTAAAACAACAAAATCACTGTTTAGAAAAAAACAAACAATTTTTTGTTTTAAATACAGAGTGTCCACTTCACAACAGTATCGCGATCGCCGATTCCCCTCTACTCATCACCATCCCGTCCAAGCCCGCTTTCTTTTGTCTCGCCGTGCCTTCGACCTCCTCCACCGCCTCGGCGCAGCTCAGGCCATGATTCAACAAATCTAAACACAGTGCCATCATTTCAACGGCATCGCAGTTAATTACACCCGTCCAGCATACGTTAAAACAACTATAAAATTAGCATCTCACTAGCTCGCCGCTCTCCTAAAATCCCCTCATTAAATATTTATAAGCCGGTCGAATCTCGGCGACGAAAAACTCGCCCCCTCCCCGCCAGCGCGCCCGCGGCCGTCCGTCGTGCCGCCGCGGCGCCCGCCGTCGTCTGCCCGCCAGCGCTCGGCCGGCCGCGGGCGGGGCGGGGCCGCCCGGCCCCGCCCCCCGGCCAATCGCGCGCGCGTCCCACCGCCGATGCGCGAGGCGCCGCGCCGCATTGGGGGACCGGCCCCGGGGGCGGCCCGTTTTTGCGCTTTTTGGGGATGCTAGGGTGACTTACCCTGGTGGTGTCCGCTGATGGCTGCCGTCTTGTTTCCGTTCAAGTAATCGTCTTTGCATATAAACTTGTTATCGTCTAACACGTAAAGTTCTTCGCCGGTCGAGAGCTGTTTCCTGCACACGAGACAGGTGAAACAGTTGAGATGGAACACTTTGTCTCGAGCTTTGCGCACTAAGTCACTAGGCGATATGCCTTGGCCACAACCACCGCACTTTGTACCGTACCTCCTGCAACAAAAGACACGAATTAGAAATATTTAGACAAAATATATCACTATCATTATTATTATTATTTATTATTATTAATCATAAGTATAAATATCAACTAATAAACGGTAAATGACGATTATCTCACTTATATTAAAAAAAAAAAACACACAACAATAATAATAATAATAACCTGTCACTATCATTATTAAGAGACGATGATGTATCCTTATTAACAGTACATAATTATAATGTTTTGTGGGGACGTTTAAATACACTTTTCTAACGTGTTACATGCACTTTTGTCACTTTGGACGTGTAATTAATTGCTTGTAGTTGTTCACGTATGACATTTACTAAGTTGGAGAGCTCTCAGAGTGATTGTTGTGTTTCCTGATCCCTGATGCTCTGACATAGTTCCAGATGGATTCAGTTGAATTAAAAATACAAAAGTAAGGATTCTATAAAAAAGAAAAAAAACACTAAGACACCAAAAGATTCTTTTAAATTCTATTAAAAAAAAATGCATTAGTATTTAGTGCCCGAGGACCTTTTAATTTGTCGAAAAAAGACACTAGAATTCTCAAAAATTCCTTCGAATTCAGTAAAAAAAATTAAAGACCTGAAAGATTCTGTATGATTTATGAGACTCGTTTAAACTCTATTAAAAAGACACTAAGAATCCCGGAATTCTTTTCAATTCTAAAAAAAAAAATACAGAAGAGCTGTTGAGATTCTTTTAATTAGAGACACTGGGGACCCCGACGTTCTTTCAAATTACATAAAAAAAAACACTAGGGAGCTCCGAGATTCTTAAATTCTCTTCAAACAATGGACTACGAGTTTTCAAAATATATTCAAAAAGACTCTAGAAACCTACGAGATACTTTTAAATTATATTCAAATAAAAAGCTAAGTGTTGACGAGATTCCTTTAAACTCTATTAAAAAAGACACTATGAGCTCCAGAGATTCTTTTAAATTCCGTCAAAAACGACACTAGAGGGTACAGAAATTATTTTAATTTCTATAAAAAAAGAGACGTTATTGGTGTTCGAGATTCTATTAAATTGGATTAAAAAAAGCACTAGGACACCCAAAGATTCTTTTAAATTTTTAAAAAAGAACGCTACGGGGCTCGGAGATTCTTTTAAATTCTATTAAAAAAAAAAGAGTCTAAGGATGATTGATGAGACTCATTCAACTTCTATTAAAAAGGACACTAAGAATCCCGAAATTCTTTTCAATTTTGTAAAAAGAAACACGAAAAAGCTCTCGAGATTCTTTTAATTAGAGACACTCGGGACCCCGACGTTCTTTCAAATTACATAAAAAAGACACTATCCGAGATTCTTAAATTCTATTCAAAAAGACTCTAGAAACCTACGAAATCTTTTTAAATTCTATTCAAATAAAAGGCTAGATGTTCACGAGTTTCCTTTAAACTATATTAAAAAAAAAAACACCATGAGCTCCAGAGATTCTTTTAAATTCCTTAAAAAACGACACTAGAGGGTACAGAAATTCTTTCAATTTCTATAAAAAAAAGATACGTTATTGGTGCCCGAGATTCTATTAAATTGTATTAAAAAAAGCACTAGGACACCCAAAGATTCTTTCAAATTTTTAAAAAAGAGCGCTACCGGGCTCGGAGGTTCTTTTAAATTCTACTCAAAAAAAAGAGTTTAAGGATGATTCACGAGACTCATTCAATCTCTATTAAAAAGGACACTAAGAATCCCGGAATTTTTTCAATTTTGTAAAAAAGAAATACAAAAGAGATCTCGAGATTCTTTTAATTAGAGACACTTGGGACCCCGACGTTCTTTCAAATTATATAAAAAAGACACTAAAGAGCTCTGAGATTCTTAAATTCTTTTCAAACAATGGACTACGAGTTTTAAATTCTATTCAAATAAAAGGCTAGGTGTTCACGAGATTCCTTTAAACTCTATTAAAAAAGATACTATGTGCTCCAGAGATTCTTTTAAATTACTTAAAAAACGACACTAGAGGGTACAGAAATTCTTTTAATTTCTATAAAAAAAAGACACGTTATTGGTGCCCGAGATTCTATTAAATTGTATTAAAAAAAGCACTAGGACACCCAAAGATTCTTTCAAATTTTTAAAAAAGAGCGCTACCGGGTTCGGAGATTCTTTTAAATTCTACCCAAAAAAAAGAGTCTAAGGATGATTCATGAGATTCATTCAATCTCTATTAAAAAGGACACTAAGAATCCCGGAATATTTTCAATTTTGTAAAAAAGAAATACAAAAGAGATCTCGAGATTCTTTTAATTAGAGACACTTGGGACCCCGACGTTCTTTCAAATTATATAAAAAAGACACTAAAGAGCTCTGAGATTCTTAAATTTTCTTCAAACAACGGTCTACGAGTTTTAAATTCTATTCAAATAAAAGGCTAGGTGTTCACGAGATTCCTTTAAACTCTATTAAATAAGACACTATGAGCTGCAGAGATTCTTTTAAATTCCTTCAAAAACGACACTAGAGGGTACAGAATTTCTTTTAGTTTCTATAAAAAAAGAGACGTTATTGGTGTCCGAGATTCTATTAAATTGTATTAAAAAAAACACTAGGACACTCAAAGATTCTTTTAAATTTTTATGAAAGAACGCTACGGGGCTCGGAGATTCTTTTAAATTCTACTCAAAACAAAAAGAATAAGGATGATTCATGATACTCATTCAATCTCTATTAAAAAGGACACTAAGAATCCCGAAATTCTTTTCAATTTTGTAAAAAGAAACACGAAAAAGCTCTCGAGATTCTTTTAATTAGAGACACTCGGGACCCCGACGTTCTTTCAAATTACATAAAAAAGACGCTATCCGAGATTCTTAAGTTCTATTCAAAAAGACTCTAGAAACCTACGAAATCTTTTTAAATTCTATTCAAATAAAAGGCTAGATGTTCACGAGTTTCCTTTAAACTATATTAAAAAAAAAAACACCATGAGCTCCAGAGATTCTTTTAAATTCCTTAAAAAACGACACTACAGGGTACAGAAATTCTTTTAATTTCTATAAAATAAGAGACGTTATTGGTGTCCGAAATTCTATTAAATTATATTAAAAAAAGCACTTGGACACTCAAAGATTCTTTTAAATTTTTAAAAAAGAACACTACGGAGCTACGAGATTCTTTTAAATTCTACTCAAAACAAAAAGAATAAGGATGATTCATGATACTCATTCAATCTCTATTAAAAAGGACACTAAGAATCCCGAAATTCTTTTCAATTTTGTAAAAAGAAACACGAAAAAGCTCTCGAGATTCTTTTAATTAGAGACACTCGGGACCCAGACGTTCTTTCAAATTACATAAAAAAGACACTATCCGAGATTCTTAAATTCTATTCAAAAAGACTCTAGAAACCTACGAAATCATTTTAAATTCTATTCAAATAAAAGGCTAGATGTTCACGAGTTTCCTTTAAACTATATTAAAAAAAAAACACCATGAGCTCCAGAGATTCTTTTAAATTCCTTAAAAAACGACACTACAGGGTACAGAAATTCTTTTAATTTCTATAAAATAAGAGACATTATTGGTGTCCGAGATTCTATTAAATTGTATTAAAAAAAGCACTAGGACACCCAAAGATTCTTTCAAATTTTTAAAAAAGAGCGCTACCGGGCTCGGAGGTTCTTTTAAATTCTACTCAAAAAAAAGAGTTTAAGGATGATTCACGAGACTCATTCAATCTCTATTAAAAAGGACACTAAGAATCCCGGAATTTTTTCAATTTTGTAAAAAAGAAATACAAAAGAGATCTCGAGATTCTTTTAATTAGAGACACTTGGGACCCCGACGTTCTTTCAAATTATATAAAAAAGACACTAAAGAGCTCTGAGATTCTTAAATTCTTTTCAAACAATGGACTACGAGTTTTAAATTCTATTCAAATAAAAGGCTAGGTGTTCACGAGATTCCTTTAAACTCTATTAAAAAAGATACTATGTGCTCCAGAGATTCTTTTAAATTACTTAAAAAACGACACTAGAGGGTACAGAAATTCTTTTAATTTCTATAAAAAAAAGACACGTTATTGGTGCCCGAGATTCTATTAAATTGTATTAAAAAAAGCACTAGGACACCCAAAGATTCTTTCAAATTTTTAAAAAAGAGCGCTACCGGGTTCGGAGATTCTTTTAAATTCTACCCAAAAAAAAGAGTCTAAGGATGATTCATGAGATTCATTCAATCTCTATTAAAAAGGACACTAAGAATCCCGGAATATTTTCAATTTTGTAAAAAAGAAATACAAAAGAGATCTCGAGATTCTTTTAATTAGAGACACTTGGGACCCCGACGTTCTTTCAAATTATATAAAAAAGACACTAAAGAGCTCTGAGATTCTTAAATTTTCTTCAAACAACGGTCTACGAGTTTTAAATTCTATTCAAATAAAAGGCTAGGTGTTCACGAGATTCCTTTAAACTCTATTAAATAAGACACTATGAGCTGCAGAGTTTCTTTTAAATTCCTTCAAAAACGACACTAGAGGTTACAGAAATTCTTTTAATTTCTATAAAAAAAGAGACGTTATTGGTGTCCAAGATTCTATTAAATTGTATTAAAAAAGCACTAAGACACCCAAAGATTCTTTTAAATTTTTAAAAAAGAACGCTACGGGGCTCGGAGATTCTTTTAAATTCTACTCAAAAAAAAAGAGTGTAAGGATGATTTATGAGACTCATTCAATTTCTATTAAAATAGAACACTAAGAATCCCGGAATTCTGTTCAATTTTGTAAAAAAGAAATACAAAAGAGCTTTCGAGATTCTTTTAATTAGAGACACTCGGGACACCAACATTCTTTCAAATTACGTAAAAACGACACTAGGGAGCTCCGAGATTCTTAAATTCTCTTCAAACAATAGACTACGCGATTTAAATTCTATTCAAATTTAAGGCTAGGTGTTCACGAGATTCCTTTACACTCTATTAAAAAACACACTATGAGCTCCAGAGATTCTTTTAAATTCCTTCAAAA